CGTCTGTATGTATGTCTGTATTTCTATAAGTGCTATCTGTATATCTGTATATAGATGTATGCATTTGCATATTTACATGTACATGTACATGTGTATGTACGTGTATGCGTTTGTGCACACTTAGTCGCATATGTAGATGTAGATGTGTAGGTATATGTACTGGTATACATACGCACACGTGTATGTGTATGTGTATGTGTATGTGTATGTGTATGTGTATGTGTATGTGTATGTGTATGTGTATGTGTATGTATACGTAGGCATGTACATATATATATATATATATATGTAAGTTTGTGTATATGCCTATGTTTTGATTGCCGTGTATATACATGTGTATGTGTACATGTGTTTGTCTGCGTAATGCATATAATATGTATGTATGTGTGCATATGCGTATGTGTATGCGTATGCATATACATATGCATACACATAGGTATATACATGTGTACATGTAGCGTTTATGTATTTGCATAGGTGTGTGTATGCGTATGCGTATGTGTATGTGTATGTGTATGTGCATGGGTAGGTGTATGTGTATATGTATGTGTATTTGCATGTGCATGCGTATATGTATGTGTATGTGTATGTGTATATGTATGCATGTATGTGTACATACATATATATAGATACGTGGTCAGCCCAGCACTCAATTCTTACCAGTGTTCTTTTGCGGCGGTTTTTCTCTTCTTATCATCCTCTTCGTCGTCCTCCTCCTCTTCCGGTGTAGCAGAGTGACAGAAAGAGTGAGCGAGACAGGGGGAGAGATAGAGAGAGAGAGAGAGAGAGAGCGAGGGAGAGAGAGAGGGATAGAGAGAGAGAGAGAGAGAGAAAGACAGAGAGACAGAGAAACTTGAGGGAGAAGCGGCCCCTTTTTTTTTTTTTTCTCTCCTCCTCCTCTTCTTCCAGCTCCTCCTCCTCCCTCCACCTCCTCCTCCTCCCCCTCCTCGTCCTCCTCCTCTTCTGAAGCGCAAAAGAGAGAAATAAAGAGGGAGGGAGAGAGGGAGTGAGAGACTTGAGGGAGCAGCGATCCCTTTGGAATCGTACGGTTTGCGACGTTCGGGGTCGTCAAACCTTGTGCTTTCATTTGAATGTTTGGGATTTCTGGGATGAGAATCAAGGACATCCTATGTTTTCATTTTTTGTTTGTCTTGTTTTGTCTTGATTTTTGGGATTTTCCCCGTCCAGGAAAAATCAATCCAGGAGCCTCCGGAGCTTAGAAACCCCAGCAACTTTCAACATACCAATGAAAACATAAGGTGTCTTTGGTTCTCATCCCAGAAATCCTAAACATCCAAATGAAAAGACAAGGTTGGGCGACCCCTGATGTCGCAAACGTTGTGAATCCACAGGGATCGCTGCTCCCTCAAGTCTCTCTCCCTCTCTCTCTCTCTATCGCTCTGTCTCTCTCTCTCTCTTTTTTCTTTTCTATCTCTCTCTCTCTATATATATCTCTCTCTATATATATATATATATATCTATATATCCCACTTCTCCCTCAGTCTGTCTCTCTCTGTCCCTCTCTGTGTCCCTCTCTGTGTCGCTCTCTCTGTCTCTCTTGCTCTTTCTCCCCCTCCTCCTCCTGCTCCTCCTGCTCCTCCTCCTCCTCCAGCTCCTCCTCCTCCTCCTCTCCTCGTCGTCGTCCTCCTCTTCTGAAGCGCACAGGGCGGATAAAGAGAGAGAGAGAGAGAGAGAGAGAACAAGAAAGAGACAGGGAGAGAGATTTTCTCCTCTTCTGAAGGAAGCGCGCAGGGGGGAGAGAGAGAGAGAGAGAGAGAGAGAGAGGGAGGGAGTCTTGAAGGACCAGCGATTCCTGTAGAATCACAGGGTTAGCGACGTCAGGAGGCGCCAAACCCAGTGTTTTCATAGTTTTTTTGGATTTCTGGGATGGGGCTCAAGTAAACCTTGTGTTTCCATATGTTTTTTTGAATGATTGGTATTTCTAAGGTTCTGAAGCTTCGGAGGCTCGTGGATTGCTTCTTTTTCCCAACCGTCCTGTGGTGTTGGGTCCTCGTTTTGAAGAGACAGCGCCCGCGTCCTTCCTCCTTTCTTCTCCTCCCGCTGTCTCCCCTCCTCCCCCTCCTTGCCTCTGCCCTCCGCATGTCTCTCTGTCGGCACACCCCTCAGACGTTTCGTGGCCCCAGAGGGAGCTCCAACTACGGTCCCAGTGGCGGAACTCGCATGGCTGTCCCCGCACCAATTTTGGCACACCCCTCACACGTTTCGTGGCCCCATGGGGAGCTCCACCTAAGGTGCCAGTGGCGGAACTCGCATGCGGTCCCCGCACCCATTTTGGCACAACCCTCACACGTTTCGTGGCCTCATAGGGAGCTCCACCTACGGTCCCAGTTGCAGAACTCGCATGCGGTCCCCGCACCCATTTTGGCACACCCCTCACACGTTTCGTGGCCCCATAGGGAGCTCCACCTAAGGTCCCAGTGGCGGAACTCGCATGGCGGCCTCGGGCCATTACGGCACACCCCTCACACGTTTCGTGGCCCCATAGGGAGCTCCACCTACGGTCCCAGTGGCGGAACTCGCATGGCGGCCTCGGGCCATTTCGGCACTCCCCTCACCAGGATCGTGGCCCCGTAGGGAGCTCCACGTAAGGTCCCAGTGGTGGAACTCGCATGGCGGCCTCGGGCCATTTCGGCACACCCCCTCACGAGGATCGTGGCCCCATAGGGAGCTCCACCGAAGGCCCCAGTGGCAGGGTCTGCATGACATCTTCGGGCGATTTCGGCACACCCCCTCACGAGGATCGTGGCCCCATGGAATTCCACCGAAGGCGCCAGTGGCAGGGTTCGCATGGCGGCCTCGGGCCATTTGGGCACACCCCATCACGAGGATCGTGGCCCCATAGGGAGCTCCACCGCAGGCCCCAGCGGCAGGGTTCGCATAGCGGCCTCGGGCCATTTCGGCACCCCCCTCACGAGTAGGCCCCATAGGGAGCTCTACCGAAGGCGCCAGTTGCAAGGTTCGCATGGTGGCCTCGGGCCATTACGGCACACCCCTGACGAAGATCGTGGCCCCGTAGGAGTTCCACCGAATGCGCCAGTGGCACGGTTCGCATGGCGGCCTCGGGCCATTTCGGCACACCCCATCACGAGGATCGTGGCCCCATAGGGAGCTCCACCGAAGGCTCCAGCGGCAGGGTTCGCATAGCGGCCTCGGGCCATTTCGGCACCCCCCTCACGAGGATCGTGGCCCCATAGGAGCTCCACCGAAGGCGCCAGTGGCAGCTTCCCTCCTGGCTCTCAGAGCCCTCTCCTGCTTCTGCTCCTCGGTCAGGGGGGCGCCGTCCTCGTCGTCGTCGGCGCCCGCGAAGACGGCCGCGAACGTGTCCCTGAGCATGTCGGGCTCCGGCGGGAAGCCGTGGCCACATAGGGAGCGTGGGCGAAGATGGTAGTCACAATTGCGGTATTCACAACTGCGTATGGTTGGGTCTTTCGCCAGGCTAATTTTGTTGAAGGGGGAAATCCCTATAAATCCCCCAAATCGCAGCGAAAACACAAGGTTTCCTTGATTCTCATCCCAGAAAGCCCCAAACATCCACATGAACGCTCAAGGTTTGGCGACCCCTGACGTCGCTAACCGTGTGATTCCACAGGGATCGCTGCTCCCTCAAGTCCATCTCTCTCGCTCTCCTTCTCTCTCTCTCTCTCCCTCTCTCTCTCTCTCGCTCTCTCCCCTGTGCGCTTCAGAAGGTGAGGAAGACGGCGAGGAGAAGGAGGAGGAGGAGAACGAGGAGGAGGAGGAGGAGGAGGAGGAGGAGGAGGAGGAGGAGGAGGGGGAGGGCAAGAGAGACAGAGAGAGGTAGAGAGAGAGAGAGAAATAGAGGGCAAGAAAGAGAGAAAGACAGAGTGAACCCTTCAACGACCGATGAAAAATGAATGGGTGCTGGGAGTAGGGCTGCGCATATATATATATATATATATATATATATATATATATATATAGATATATTTGTATATGTATAGATATATAGATGTATATGTATACATGTACATATACACGTATATGTATTTGTGTAGTTAGTACAGTTAGTATCTATACATCGGAGGTTGGCGGGTGAGTCCGACGTGAAACGAACCCCCCTACCGGGAAATCGATTTCGGTTTCGGGTTCGTGTCGTGCGTGCCGTGCGTGCGTGCGGACGAGGCGAAGCTGCGTGGGCGGGCGAGAGGAAATCCTCCTGTGGCTGGGCTGCGGCCAGACCAAATGGAACTCCTCCGGTGTCCGGCGGCCGTTGCACCGCGGTGTCCCGCCGGTGTCCCGCTGGTGTCCCGAAATCCTCCTGTGGCTGGGCCGCGGCCGGACCAAATGTAACTCCTCCAGCGGCCGGTGCCCCGCGGTGTCCCGCTGGTGTCCCGCCGGTGTCCCGCCGTGGGTTGCGCATTTCAAAACATCGCCGCTTGTGGCGAGCTATCCAATGCAACTCTGCATGCAAACTGACATGCAGACCGAAAAGCACATCGAAATGTAAATCGATTTGCACATCCAAATGCAAATTCAAATCAATTTGCCCATTGCTGCCCCCCCCAACCTCATTATCACCCGCAGGGCGGTCGTATAGGTATAGATATATGGATATGTGCACGCAAATGAATTAAGGAAGCAGCGAGGCTCCTCCGAGGTCGGGACCCCATTTCTGGGGCGGGTTTTTCGTCCTGGGCCGTTTTTGATGGCCGCGGGCCCCGGCAGAGACCTGCCGGAGGCTGAAGATCGCCCAGAATTTGCCCGCCATGCTCGCTCCTGCAGCGCGAGGATGTCAGGCGGAGGGAGCCTGGAGTGGCAGGGTAAGGTTCAGTATCGTTGAACCTATCCCCATCCCCACCGCGCAATGGTTTCGCAACCCCACCATACCACCACCCCCAGTTGGGGACACGCCCCTCGAAACCCGAAGTGAACAGACTATGTCCCCATTCAGGGGGGTAAATCGGCCACTGGGGCCGAGGCCACGCCAGTGGGGATGGGGATCGGTGAAACAATGCTCAAAGGTCGAGGAGTGGCTGGCCATCATGCACCAGGCGTTCCCTGGCACTCTCGACGCCGACGTCTTCAACATGGCCATGCGGGCGTACGCCTCCCAGGATGCCTGCAGAGTGCCGAGGGCGTCGAGGTTGGCGCGAATCGTGAGGGGCGCACTCAGCAGAGGGGCCCCCGCACCTGGGCTCCAGGGGGCCACCGGCCCAATTCGACTGCACGGGAGTCAAAGAAGCACTGTGGGACAGGGGTTGGTTGCTCGGTTGCTTCGGAGGCCAGCGGCGCGAATCGCAGCGCGGCAGCAGCGACGCTACTGGAGGGCTCCGAATCCCGATGTGCCGCGAATCACGCACGCGGCTGGTCGCCATCCACCGAGCCACCCCAACCCAACCTTAAGGTCCCAACTTGCCCGCCGATGTTGAACTTTGAACAAAAACGCATATGGAACCCTCCCCCCCAATCCGAGATGGGGTCCTCGGGTTGGGCTGGGGTGGTCTGGTACTGAGCGAGGCAGGCACTCGTGTCGCCTCCCTTGTCTCTGGTCGCGTGGCCGCAGGCAGGCGTGTCCCTTGGTGCGTGGCTTGCGGTGTGCGCGGGCGGGGGGGGGGGTCGGGGCACCCCCTGAGCCCGCGGCCCGTCCCTGTCGCAACGGTCGTGCAACGACCGGCAGGCCGCGCCCCCCCAAAAAAGGCCGCTCCCGCCCAGGGCTCTCTCCTGTGTGCACCGGCCACGCGCAGAGGGGGTTTGGGGGGAGGGGGGGAGGCTTCTCAGAAGCACCCCTGCTTCTCAGAAGGCGCGGACCTTGCCCATGGATGTCGGGCCGGCCCCGTCTGAGAAGCAGCCTCCTTCCAAGAAGCCTGCCCCCCTCCCCCCACCCCTCTCTGCGCGCCGCTACAGGGTCGGGGGGCATCCATCGACTCCCAATCGCCCATTCAGCGCCGCTAGGGGCCCGCTGGCCCACCCCGCCCAGGAACGTGCGGCTTCACTGTCGGGGGCCTATCGCCGGCTGGTCACCCTCGGCCCCTGTGCTCAGCTCGCTTGCCACTGCAGCCCAGGGCCAGTTTGAACGCGACGGGTCCACTGCGAAGCCGTCGACTAAGAGAGTAGCCAGTCGCCCCTCCCCTGCCTCGCCTGCCTCTCCCGCTCCTGTCGCCGCTCCGCCCGCCGCCTGCTTCTCCGGCGGCTTGTGTCCTCGCACGGTGGCCCTCCCGCCGCTCCTTCCCCCAGGGGGGAGGATGAGGAGGAGGGATATGATGATGATGATGATGATGATGATGATGATGATGATGATGATGATGATGATGATGATGATGATGATGATGATGATGAGGAGGAGGAGGAGGAGGAGGAGGAGAGGAGGAGGAGGAGGGAGGAGGAGGGGGAGGAGGGGGAGGAGGAGGGAAAAACACAGACACAAGTAATCGCCGACTCCAAGGAAAATGTGGGAAAATATGGGAAGTGGTGGGGGAGACGAAAATCCAGAAAATATTGAAAAATATAGGGAATCCTGGGATTTGTGTGTATTTATTTGTGTGTCCTTGGGCCCCTTGAGAGGAGTAGTAGGAGGAGGAGAGGAGGGTGAGGAAGAAGACGAATCATATGAATCTTAATACAATATTAATGGTAATATTAAGAAAAGCAGCAGTAATATTGACACTGATAAAGCAAATAATAAACATACTGACACGACGAAAACCAACAATGATATTAATATTACGCATCATACTAGTACTAACAACAGTGCTAGTACTATTACGATACGAATAAACTATTCGTACTATTGATAAGGCTAATACGTTGAAGCATGCTGATGATCGGAATAGTACTACGACTAATAACACGATTGGTAGTACTAATATTAATAACCAAGAAACGATCAAGAAGCATACGACGAATTTCATTATTACTAATAATAAGAAGGAGACACATCCGAAAACCACTACTAACAATGCGAATCGTAAAAGCAAGAAGGTTTTTACGAAGACGAGTACGATTAGTTAGAACAACGACGAATCTGAATATTCATCATCATACGACACACCAATATTATCAATCATACGACTGATAAGACTAATAAGCAGACTACAACTAATGATAACAATGCGAATCCGAATAATACTCACGAGCACTAGCAACTCGAGTCCTAATACTCACAAGGTAAGGGCATCACGATTACTACTATCAATATGAATAACACGAAGAGCACATACGAATAAAACTCATACTACGAGTACGATCAAGAATAATCTGAATCATACCACTGGGTGGAGGAGGAGGAGGAGGAGGAAGAGGAGGAAGAGGAGGATTACTAGTAATAATCAGAAGAAGAAACACAAGAGGAATAATACTACGACTGGTGATATTATTAGTATGAATAATGAGACGAAAAATACTACTCATGAGAATAAGAAGACGAACGCACATACCAATAATACGCACATAAGCACAATCATACTACTAATACTACGGCGAATGCGAGTAATAATACTAAACACAATAATTCTACTGCTCGTAGTAACAGTAAGACGAATTATGCATCTAATAAGAATGATACGAACCATAGTAATACTAAAGGGAAGCCTAGCACCACTTTATAGAACAAGACTACTACTACGAATACTAATACGACTAACAATACTGAGACGGAAATCCTGATCTTATAAATAAGCGTAGCGATGTTAATAATGCTAAGACGACGAAGTAGACGAGCACTATTAGGTACCCTAACGAGAATATGGTTATTACGAAAATGATAATACGAATAATAAAGATAAGAGGAGGATGAAGATGATGATGATGAGGAGGAGGAGGAGGAGCAGGAACAGGAGCAGGAGGAGGACGAGGAGGAGGAGGAGGAGGAAGAGGCGGGGGAAGAGGAGGAGAAGGAGGAGAAAGAGGACGGAGAGGGGATGAGGGAGGAGGAGGAAGAGGGAGGGGGTGGATGGAGGAGGGATGAAGGAGGAGCGAGAAGGGATGATGGAGGAAGGATGAGGGAGGAGGGGAGCGGGATGAAGGAGGAGGGAGGAGAAGGGAGGAGAGAGGAGGGAGGAGGGAGGAGGGAAGAGGAAGGAGCGATGAGGGAGGAGGAAGGAGTGAGGAGAGTGGAGGGAGGAGGGGTGAGGGAGGAGGGAAGACGGAGGAGGGAGGAGGAGGAGGGAAGAGGGAGGAAGGAGGAGGGAGGTGGAGGGGGGAGGGGGGAGAGTGGGAGAGGATGGAGACGGAAGGAGGAGGGAGGAGGGAGGAGGGAGGCGAGAGGAGGGAGGAGGAATGAGGGAGGAGGACGGAGGGAAGAAGGAGGTGGGAGGAGGGAGGAGGGAGGAGGGAGGAGGGAGGAGTGATGGGGGAGGAGGGAGGGGGGAGGAAGAAAGAGGAAGGGCGGGAGGAGGAGCGAGGAGGGGGGAGGAAGGATGGAGGAGGGAGGAGGGGGGAGGGAGGAGGGAATAGGGAGGAGTGAGGTGGGAGGTGGGAGGAGTGAGAATGAGGATAAGGAGGAGAAGGAGGAACATGAGGAGAATGAGGAGAAGGAGGAGAAGTTTGAGAAGGAGGAGAAGGAAGATAAGGAGGAGGAGGAGGGGAAGGAAGAGGAGGAGGAGGAGGAAGATGAGGAGGAGGATGAAGAGGAGGACGATGATGAGGAGGAGGAAAGAAAAAAGAAGGGAGGAGTAGGAGGACGATGATGGTACTGCCGCTGCTGCTGATGGTGGTGGTGATGATGAGGAGGGGTATTCGGAGGAGGACCAGTGTAAACCCAGGGCGCATCAGCGATGTTGCAGTACACTCTCCAAGTTCCCGCTTCATAGGCCCCTACAGGATTTTTTTTTCATTGCGGGATGTGGCCCAATAGAAGACAACCGTCTGATAATCTTCACTCGTGCTTGCGACTTCAGTTCCGCGCATCAACGTGGCTGCTGTGTCTTGACAATCCGAGATCGTGCCAGGACGCCGTTCCTGGGACATCAACACCCCGAACCAAAGTGACTGCTAGGTTCTGACTGGGGCTTCGATCATACGAGTCCTTGAAACGGTTGCCAACTTTTATCACGAATGCGCGGCGCTAGATCGGCCACACATTGAAACATAACCGCTTGACATCCGTGAAACTGTTGCACACTTTTTCATGCGAATGTGCGCGGCGCTAAGGCAAGGACCAACTTCTGAAAACGACCCGCCCTCCATCCGTGAAGCTATTGCATTTTTCAAGCTTCAGGATCATAAACGACGAGGGAATCTCAGGCGAGACATCCGGTCTGCTGGGGGTGCGACAGGAATGAGTTGTTATAAGGGAAAGGGATGGTGGAGGAGGGGAAGGAGGGAGGAGGGGGAGTAAGCTCGTCGCAGCAAGTCAGACAGGACTGGGCATTCACGTGCCTTTCCTCCTCAGGACAGGGTTCGCCAGGCGGAGCGCGTCTTCGAGTACATGGAGGGGATGGGTGTGCAGCCAAACGCCGAGAGCTACGCCATCCTGACGGGAGCTTCGCGGCTCCTTGCTCCCGCTACTCCCTCCCCCGCTCCCCTCCTCCCCGCATCCTTGCCTCTCCACGCTTGGTCCCCCCACCTCTTCCTTTCTCCCTCCGCCCCGCCCCTTCCCGCCCTGTCCCGCCCTCTTCACTCCTTCTCTCCCTCCCTCCATCTGCTGTCTTCGTCGTTGTTCCTTCTCGTCTTCCTTCTTCTCCTCCGCCTCGTCCTCCTCCTCCTCCTCCTCCTCCTCCTCCTCCTCCTCCGTCTTCCGCACCCTCTATCCCTGGTAAGGTTTACGACAAGGCCTGTGAGCTGCAAACGTTCGGCTATGTTATCAACAAGTCGTGGAGTTATTCTGCCGTAGCTGCCCGTTGTGTCGTAGCCCCTGGTGTCGTAGCCGCTGGTGCTGTCGTATCTGTCCGTGGTGCAGTGGACGTTTGCGCTTTTTTGCGGCTAGCACGGTAATAGCCGCCCTTGTCGTCTTGGTCGCGGGGCTTGTCGTAGCCGACTCCTGTGCAGTAGCCCTTCGTGTTGGTGTGGCCTTCGGGATTGTCGCGGCCGCTCGCCTTGTGGTAGCATTGGGCACTCTCCCAGGAAGGAGGGCAAGTGAGACCGCCATCTAGTTCACAGTGGCGACGTAGTTTCGGGAACACTCAGAGCATGGACTTCTTCCTGCATGTTACGTCTCGGTCGCGCCAATTCGGCCTGATTGAAACGACGTGAAGCAGGGACAAAAGCAACAGACGTGCGAGCGAACAAGCGAACGAGGACGAACGGAAGCAAAGGGACGGTCCAGAACAAGGAAAGCACAGAGCGCCACAGTATCGTGATCGCAGCGTGGCTGACAGGCCCTGCCCCTTTTCCCGTCCCTCATCCTTTCTCTCCCCCCAGCCTAGTGCCCTGACCCTTCCCAGGCGTCCTGCTGCCCCGTTTTCCGAGCCGTCCCCCATTCTAGCGATGCGCCCCCTCCCCCCCCTCGAAGCCAGGATGTACCGACGATGCTGCAGTACGTCCTCCCGTCCCAAGTCCCCTCCTCCTAAGTCCTTACGTGCGTCCTTCTCCATTGCCCAAAGAGCCCCCTTGAAGGACCGGGCCCAGTGGGCCCACACCTCAGGCGGGAGCCCCGTCTTGAACAAGAATTGCCCTGCAACCTTCGAGCTATAAGTGACGCGACAAGGAGGGGGTACCATATCGAAGGACATTCCCAGTGGCAGCCCAGCTTTGAGGCGGAACCGCCTTCCATCCGTGTAACTGTTGCGCAGTTTCAGACTTGTTTAATACATGTAAAAGAAGTCTCAGCTGGTAGCTTCCTTTTTGACAGGGGACCGCCCTCGACCATTTCTTGGTGTGTACATGTGTTTATTTATTTGTATAGATATACACATACATATAGATATGCTTGAATGTCTGTGTCTGTGTGCACATCGATCTACGCACATGCGTTCTCCATGTGTACGTATAGTCAAGCTGTCACTTGGAGTACCATTTTGTTCAGGCGGCTTCAGGCGAGAGGCACACTCTGAACACGATTCGCCCCCACTCTGTGTACCAGGTATCTTTCGGTGAGACCAGTGGGCGCGGCGCCAAAGTCGGAGCCCCATTTACCACGCGGCCTGTCCTCCATCCGTGTCGCTGTTGGAATGTCAAGCTTCCGGATCGTGAGCGGCGAGGCCGTCTCGCGTGGGGCGCCTGGCCCGGCGTGACGACCCCCGGGGTGCGACAGGGAGGGGTTACGTATGATGATGAGGAGGAGCAGGAGTTGCAGGATGAGTAGTGGGACGGGGAGGAGGAGGAGGAGGAGGAGGAGGAGGAGGAGGAGGCGGAGGAGGCGGAGGAGGAGAAGGAGGCTGAGGAGGAGGCGGAAGAGAAGGAGAAGGAGGAGGAGATGAAGAAGGAGGAGGAGGAGGTCCGATGAAGGATCGTCTGGTGACCAAACGCCTCTAAGCGAGAAGAAACAGAAACTGCACAGCTGTAAGACAAATTCTTGAATCTTTGCGTATCCCCACCAGCCCATCCAGAAACGAGTGCCAGGCGAGATGCGTTGATCAGGAAATTGCAGGAGCAAGCAGTGGAACAAAGAGGGAGGCAGTCGTCAAAACGAAGCTCGGGATCAGCCCGTGCAGGCCAAGGCATCAATCATAGATGCCTTCTCGGATCTTCCGATATGGGAGCATCTCGACAGCTCACTTGGGCCATCTTGGGGCCCGCTTGGGTCCATTTTTGATGCCTTTGGAGCTCTCTTGGGACCCTCTTGGGGGCCTTGGGATTCCTGTCGGGGGCATTTTGGGTAACATCGATCAAATTAGTTGTGGTGGTGGTGGGGTGAATTCGGGCCGCATCTCTTGTGTCCGAAAAGTCGCCCTTCGTTGCCGCCCTGGGGCGCTATCGGGGCGCTCTTGGGCGCTCTTGGGGCCATCGTGGGGCCGTCTTTGGCCCTCCTGCGTCTCCGTTTGGGCTCTCTTGGGCCATGTTGGCGCTATCCTATCTAGAGGTTTCAGAAGCCACTCGGAAACGGACAGGCGAGAACGCACACATCGTTTTTTTGTTTGTTTGTTTGTTTTTTTTCCTCTTTTTTCCAACTAATTATTTTAAGGAAACCGAATGGGGGTTGCAGGGCAGTCCATGAATCCACTGCTGATTGGCTCGGGTGCCTGTGCGAATGTACAGGCGCGCCCCAAGAAAGGGAGATGGAGATGGAAATGGATGAGATCGAGGAGGAGGAGGAGTAGGAGGAGGAGGAGGAGGAGGCGGAGGAGGAGGAGGAGGAGGAGGAGGAGAGGTCTTGGTTGTCCTTGGAGCCTCTTGGAGCGTCTTTGATACTTCGGGGAAGCCTCTTGGCGCCTCTTTGGTCTCTTGCGGGGGCCTCTTGGGGGCCTCTTGACCTTTGGGCTCTCTTGGGGCCATCTAGGAGGAGATCGATCACAGAAGGGGGGGAAGCAATTTAGGTCCCCCCCTAGGAAGCTCGAAGACGGCCTCCTGGGGGCCTCCTGGGCCGCTCTTGGGCGCCTCTTGGGCGCGCTTGGGGCCGTCTTGGGTCCGTCTCGGGCCCCTCTTGGGCCTCACGAGGGCTGACTTGGAGCCATTCTAAGGCCCAGGAAGCCCATCGGCAGCGGAACATCGAGACGCCAACCAGCCTTGTGCTCCATGGTAGTTGAAGGGTTTTGGCCTCTCGGGAGGTGCCCGGGGAGGCGGGGATGGCACCTGCAACCATTTTGGGGCTGCCTTGAGGCGTCTTCGAGGCCTGTCGGAGGATATCTTCAGCGATGTTGAGGTACCTCGGGCCATCTTGGAGGCCCTCTTGGGCTGTCTCGGGCCCTCTTGGAGCCATCTGGCGCCATCCTGGGCGCTCTGACGGCTCCACCCCCCCCCCCCTCTCCCAGGTCCAGGTGAGGGGGTAGGGGGAGGGGTCAAGACACCCTCTAGATAGCACGCCCTCTAGCTCACTCCCACCCGCCCTCCCAACACGTAAGTAACACCCGAGCCTGAGCATGTTTAGCGGTCGACTGAACAGTGATAACCCCTTCCCCGAGCAGGGGAAGGAGGGTTGTGGCAGGGAGCTGAGAAGAAATCGTCAACCCTCTCAGCCCAGAGGGCTGGTGGGAGTAGACAGCAAGGCACAGTTCAGGCACACTGCGACGCTCCCTGCAACAGCAAGATCGGAGGCTGTGTGGTGCGCGCTCACACAGGCACAGGTGGGCCCCCTGTGCGCGGATGGAGAGCATGCGTAGCACGAGAAATCTGCGCTTCCTCGTTCGTACGCGTGCTGTGGGCTAAAGAGTGCCCCTTGCAATCCTTGCCGAGCTCAGGCTTGCGACCGCCTGCAACGCTGTAGGCGCCGCAGGCGAGACAGATTACCGCGGCCCCGAACCTTTCGACCTCATAGGAGGAGGGGGAGGAGGAAGAGGAGGAGGAGGAGGAAGAGGAGGAGGAGGAGGAGGAAGAGGAGGAGGAGGAGGATAAACAATATTATTATTTTAATAATAAGACTAATTATACTAATAAGGAAACGAATAATAATACTACGAAGAATAATGATAATGCTACTAATACTAATAAGAAGAATATTATGAATACGAATACTAACAATAATAAGAATACTATTAATACGAAGAAAACCAATACGAATACTCAGTATTTAACGAGAGTAATAATAAGAAGAAGAACACTATAACGACTAATGATGCTAATAATATGAAGAGTATTCATACGAATAAACAGACGAATACTAATAATAAGGGTACGAATGCTAACAACAAGAATAATAAGAATATTACTAAGAAAAATAATAATAGTAATAATCATAAGAAGGATAATCGCACTAATAACGGTAATGATAACAATACTACTACGAATACTAATATGAATACTAGTAATACTAATAAAGATAATAATGCGAATAAGAGGAATACGCATATTGAGAAGAAGGCGCATATTAATAATAAGAAGACGAATGCTAAGACGAAACAGCAATACCAATAATCAGAATACTAAGAAGAATACGACTACTATGAACATGAAGGCTAGTAAGACTAATACTACTAATACGAATACTCATAATACGAATACTAATACTAGTAGTAATACTAATACCACCACTACTAATACTAATGATACCACTACTACTACTACTACTACTACGACTACTACTACTAGTATTAATGCTAATGGCAATACTATTAATAATAATACGAATACTAGTATTGCGAGAAATAATACTGCTTATACTGATGTTATTCAGAATAATACAATAGTAGTAATGGTAATACTGTCATTATTAATCATATTGGCAATCCTAAAAATATTAAGAATACTGACAGTAGTACCAATACTAATAACACTGATAATGCTAACGATAATGATGCTACTGATAATACTAACAATAGCAATACTATTACTAATATTCATATTACTACCCATACTAATATTAGTATTAATATCAATAGTAATCGTAGCACTAATGTTACTACTACTACTACTACTATTACTACTACTATTACTATTACTATTACTATTACTATCACTATTACGACTACTACTACTACTACTACTACTACTAATAATAATAGTAATACTCGTACTAATATTAATAACAACAATCATAACAGTACCAACAATATAAACAATACTAACAATACTAACAATAATAATAATAACAAGAAGAGGAGGAGGAGGAGGAGGAGGAGGAGGAGGAGGAGGAGGAGGAGGAGGAGGAGGAGGAGGAGGAGGAGGAGGAGGTGTCCGCCCTGTTCCACCACGCTGCTTGCGTTACTGGACGAACACGCCATTTTCAGCACCAGTCGACCGCCGCCGCTCTGCGCCTCTAGGCGTGCCGACTGCGCCTGTCTCTCGCATCTCCTGCCACCCGAAGCCTGGAACGGACTCGGGAAGAAACGTGGGACTCGCCCTGGGCAGAGCGCAGCCCGACTGATGTGGCCTGGAGATTTACAAGCGGTTGCCGCGGACCAGCGGGATCCACTCTGTTCGCACGGGAGTCAAAGACTTGGGCCCAAATGGCTGCGGACTGGGAGGAGGAGAAGGAGGAGGAGGAGGAGGAGGAAGAGGAGGGAGGAGGAGGAGGAGGAGGAGGCGCCCCCTCTCCACCAGGAGACGGCGCTGCGTACAGGGACCCGTCGGCGGTGGAGCAGTGGTCGCAGCGGCTGCTGGACGCCGGCGTGGAGATCGACCAGCAGTCGTACGTCGCGGTGATCGGGGCCTGGGCCGGCGCGGGCGACGCGTCCAAGGTGCCGCGGGAGCGACGAGGGTCTCCGTGCCCACGTTTATGATGTTCCAACCTACTTTAGCCTTGACTAGCAGAAAGAATTTCGAGCCCCCAGAAAGTACCGAAACTCGACGGTTTTCATGTGTCGGGCCCTGGGAGACACTCGCCCGACACATTTTCGACACTGCTTCGACACTCTTTCGAAACTTTCCCGGGTGCTCTATGGGTGCTCGAAATTATTTCTGGGAAAGGATCTGGAGTCTGGGGAAGGATCTGGAGTCTGGGCGATCATGTCTGGCGATCATGTCCCGACCCCTTCCCCGGAGTCTGGGGAAGGATCTGGAGTCTGGGGACTCTATGGACGTGGTTCTTAAGCAGGATGGGAACAACATAGGCCCACGCCCTGTCTCGTCTGGACACCGGGGCGCGGCCCCACGGACACGCGATCCCACGGGTGCGGTCGGCGCGCGGGGCCTCGGCGCAGGGCCGCCGCGTGTCCACGCGGCGGCCGGCCGAGGGGTCCAGGCCGCGAGGCCGTGGGCACGAGCATGTCGCGGTGCCGAGGGTTCTGTCGCACGGCAGGGGGAGCTGCGAGCAAGGCATGCTCTGGCGTGTTCGCAGGTGTTCCACGCCTGCCGGCCGTGGCGTGCTGCCTGACTTTCTGCCCTCTGCTGGAGCCTCTGCCCTCTCTTGTTCTCTGCTCTTGACTTTCTGCCCCCTCTCTCTCTCTCTTTCTCCCTGACCCTTTTCTGTATCTCTCTAGCATTGTTTTTTGTTTTGTTTTCTTTCTCTCTATCTATATATACATACATACATACATATATATATATAGATATGTATATCCTCTTTTTCTCTTTTTCCTTTAGCTCTACTCCATCTGTTTTCTGTAGTTCTTTTTGTTGTTTGTCCTATCGCTCCGTCTCTCTCTTTCACCCTCCCTGTTTTGTTTACCGAGTCGAGCCTCTCTGCTCGCTGCGCTTTCTTTTCCCCACACTTTATACTTTCTATTATTCTCTCTACACGCACAGATGTAAACACCAATATCCCCTAAACAGTGCTTGCACTTATGGGTTTTCACTTGGACTAAAAGAAACTGGGCCTGGGTGTCGGTCCAGCCGGCTTGTTGTCGCCGTCGCCGGCCGTCGCCGCCGTCCGTCGCCGCTGCCTCTGCGCCAGGGTGTCGGTCCTTCTGGCTTGTTGTCCCCGCCGCCGCCCGTCGCCGCCGCCCGTCGCCGCCGCCCGTCGCCGCCGCCCGTCGCCGCCTCATTGCGCCTGGGTGTCGGTCGCTGCGCTTCTTGTCGCCGTCGCCGCCCGTCGCCGCCCGTCGCCGCCTCGTCGGCGCCCGTCGCCGCCCGTCGCCGTCGCCCAGTTGCACCCGCTCCCCCCTGAACTGCGATCTCAATCGAGTGCAATCGATTGCAACATATATTCACGAGGCTTGCTCCGTTCCGCCCATCCCCAGAAGAGGTAAGGCATCAACGGTTCGCCCTTCGTGTGGGCCTGATTGACGCTTCTGCTGGCAGTCCAGTGGCCTTCGGCCCCTCCCGCCTCTGCGCGCGGCTCGTGGGCCAGAGGCTTCTTGGGCGCCAGCAGGGGTCTCTTGGGAAGCCCCTGGGGAGCTTCGTGGAGGCAGTTCTGATGCCTCCTGGGGACCGTTCGGGGGCCTGCGGGGGCCTCCAGTCGTGCTCTTGGGGGCCTCTGGGGGCGGAGGGCTCGAAATGTCAGCTCGACTTCCCCTCGTGGGCCCCTCTTGGGGCCTCCTTCGGGCCCTTTTGGGGGCCGCCTGGGCCGTCTTGATGCAGTCTCGGTGGCCTCTTGGTCCATGCTGGACAAAATTGAAGCCAAAGAGGCGGGTATGCTAACCATGAACAGCTTCCAATGGGATTGGGTATTCAGTTTCCGACGACGACGATGATGATGCTGGTGATGATGATGATGATGATGGTGATGATGATGATGATGATGATGGTGATGATTATGATTATGATTCTTATCAATATTATTTGTTGTTCTGATGATGATTATCAGTATTGCTATCAGTATGCTTATTCTTATTGTTCTTATTATGGCTATTATGAGTATGATGATGGTGCTGATGATGCTGCTGATGATGATGACTATTATCAGTCGATGACCACGAATATTTTCACTTCTACTACTGGCGCGACGACGACGACGACGAAGTAGTAGTATTATTATTATTATTATTAGTAGTAGTAGTAGTAGTAGTAGTAGTAGTAGTAGTAGTAGTAGCAGTAGGTAGTAGTAGTAGTAGTAGTAGTAGTAGTAGTAGTAGTAGTAGTAGTAGTAGTAGTAGTAGTAGTAGTAGTAGTGCTGTAGTGGTAGTGGTAGGTCAACTATGTGGAATGGTATTGCAACAGCTACGGAATCCCCCGAGAATCTTTCAGGAGTCTTGCAGGAATCGGTCTGGAACCTTGCATGGATCTCCAGGAATGCTTAGGAGTCCCCCAGGATCTCTTCAGGATCCCCTCTGGAATCCATCAGGATTTTTTCGGGGCTTTCTCAGGAATCCCTCGCGAATCCCTTCGGAATCCCGCAGGAACCATCAGGATTCTTTTAGGAATCCTTAGGAATCGTCGCGAATCCCAAAGGAGCCTCTCAGCAGAATCTAAGGAGCTTCTAAGGAGCCTCTGAGGAGCCTCTGAGGAGCATCCTCGGAGCTTCTATGGAGCGTATCTGGAGCGTCTTAGGAGCCTCTCAAGAGCCTCGAAGGAGCCTGAGAGGAACCTCCAAGGAGCTTCCAAGACGGTTCTAAGGAGGCTCCGAGGAGCCTCTGAGGAGCCTTACTTGAGGAGCTTCCGTGGAGCCTCCACGGAGTCTCCGTGGAGCCTAGCGTCTAAGGCGCTCTCAGGAGCCTCTAGGGAACCTCTAAGGAGCCTCTCAGGAGTCCCAGTCGAACCTCTAAGAAGCCTCCAGGGAGCCTCTAAGGAGCCTCAGAAGAGGAGTCTCTATAGTGGGCACCCCAGATTTGTAGCAGTTCAAGTGCATTTTAAAGCAATTTACCGGTACAGAACACGACATACCTGGAAAGGACCCAGCTGGCCGGTGAAAAACATTTTCCCTCTGGGACCTCTCTATGGTTGTTCATCCTGGAGCCATCTTGAGGCTTCAACGCATCGTTGTAATGCGAGAAGGCCACAACCACCTTCGTGACTTTGGGATGGTTTTGGCCTCTCGAGGACGTGATTTAGAGGCTCCAAGGCCACTTTAGGCCGTCTTGGAACAGTGCTGATGTATCGTCGAGGTATGTTGGAAGCAATCCTCAGAAATTGTGGGTTACGTTGTGCCATCTTCGAGGACATCGCGATCACACCCACCCAGACCCAGGGGAGGGGGCGGCACACTTTGTGAAAGCCCAAACCGTATCCTCGAGAACCCTTTCAGCGCAAGCACTGATTGGGGATGTGAGTGTCTGGCCACGCGGGGTGCCGAGCGTGTTTGATGTGCGCGGGGGAAGATGATCGACATCGTCGCCTGAAGCAGCAGAGTAGGCGTCCGACAGATAAAGGTAACGCTGTGGACGCGGGTGTGGGACCTGCTCTAGGCGCAGCGAGCGACTGTGTGTAAATGCGCGGGCCCAATTTCCTTCGATTCGCACTTGCGCCAGCCACGCCGTCGGCACTAGTCGGACTAACCCCCGCAGCACTTTGGTGGCCCATCTTGGAACAAGCCTGCGTTCTTGGATCTGGCCAGCGCGACCCGTCGCCGCGTATGTGCGTCCGCGATTTTAGATTTGATTGAGCAAAGCCCGTTCCAGTTCGTGGATCCGCTGGCTGCATCCATCAGTGCGTCGGAGACTGGAAAACATCTTTGTGTCTGTGTGTGTGTGTCCATAGCCTTGGCTTCAGGTGACTCGAGGTTGGCCCCCCGTACCTCTGCGAATTGCCGCCCGGGCTGCCGCAGCGCTGTTTCCCTCCAGGCCACCAGGTGCTCCTGCGATGCCCGCTGCCCGGTGGCTGGTCGGCGCCGTGCTCGCCTCCTTGTGCCCAGTGGGCTCCTGCGAGGCTCGACGCTTCTCCTGGTCGGCGCCCGCGGACCACCCGCACCTGCGCCGCCTGTCCGCCGGCGGGTCAACCCCGGACGCGCTGAATGTCACGGTGGACATCGTGAAGCTGGACACCTTCGGCGTGGAGGGGGCGAAGATGGACGTCAGCTTCCTGAGGGAGGACGGCGCTCGCATGCGCCTCTACTTCCCAGGCACCGAGGGGAATCAGGGGCAGAACATGCCGCACTGGCTTCAGATGGTCCGCGCGGTCACCCTCGTCGGCCACGCGGAGAGCGATGCGCTGGCCGCGCAGCAGGAGAGGGACGAGCTCGACAACCTCGAGATGTCCGCTGGCCTCACGCCGCTCGGGGCAGACGGGATGGAGGTCTTCGACACCCGGGAGCTCTTCGTGGTAGAGGCCGCCCAGGGCGAGGTGGACTCCGAGGAGTTCGAGGCCGACAATTCCCGCCGCTTGTCCGACGGCCTTGCGCCGACCGTGCTGGACACCGTGGTGGTCCTCATCTCTCCCTGCGGCGAAGAGCTGGTGCACTCCACCCCGCACGGAGTGCAGAGCGCTGTATTCAGCAACGGCGCCGGCTCTGTCAACAGCATCCTCAAAGATTGTGCTTCCGTCAGCAGCACCAAGGACATCTCTGTCACAGGAGACGTCATCGGACCCATCGAGATATGCCCGTCGAGCAGAGACATGTGGACAGTCACCCGAGCGTGCGATGATCACCTGAAGAACGACCCGAGGTGGACGGGCAACTACTATAAGGCCATGGTGCTTCCAGACGACTGGCTCGGCAACGCGGCGGGCATGGGCGAGCTCAAGGGAGCCAACACGTGGTACCGCGACAGCGTCACTCAGGGCTCCTCGGTGTTCATTCACGAGTACGGGCACAACTTCGGGCTCCACCACGCCAACGGCAAGTACATCTTCTATGAGTACATGGACTGGAGCTCCGCGATGGGCAATCCCATGACTGGCAGGTGCTTCAACTTCCTGCAGCAGT